CCCCCCCCCCCACGACGCACTGCGGAGCCAAACCTCTCCTCCTCCCCATGCAAACTCTGCCCTAGAACTCGCCATGTGTCTTTCTGTGCCACCAGCCACAGTCTTGTTATTTCCCATCTGCTGGGTACGTTGTTATGAGGAGAGGTTCTCTTTGTGCTTTCTGCTCCTCCATTCCTGTTCTCCAAGCCCATCTCTGGGGACACGACTCTGCTTTCCTGCTTGGAGGGTTTTATGCTCTGCTATTCTCCTCCCCCCCCTTTCTTTCAAATGTTTCTCTTGGCTCCCAGCCAGTCCTGAACAAAGACCCTGCCTAGACAGGGGAGAGCCTCTCGGTGGAGAGAGAGAGAGACCCCAGCTAGAGCCTCCCACAAAAATACCAGACTAGAATAGCAGATCTCTTCCTCCCCCCCCCCCTTGCACTAGCATGCCACAGCCCATCCTTCTTATAAGCTATAGGAGAGCTCCCTTTGTGGTTGATCCTCTGGAAAGCTTTCCTCCTTGTGCCGTTCTGTCCGAGTAGGTGGCCGGTTGTTTTTACCAGTGGGCATTACGGCAAAGGGTGGCCGGTGCATTTGGCATAGGCCAGAGTTCTGCTTCCAAGGCAATTGCAGGTGGTGATACCCTGCCTGTATGCCTGCGGTTTGGCTCTGGCCTCTGTGGTAAGTCTGTCAGCATCCCTGACACCTCCAGAGAGGCTGTTGTGCAATGCGGTCTCTGCTTCTAAATTGAGTGAGAACCTGGCTGCTATGGTGCTGCAGCTCACTCTGTACCTCCATCACTGTCACATGTGGCCCCCCTTCTGGGTTCTGTCCTGCACTGCCCCAAAACAAAGCTTTACATGTTTGCCATGTGCAGGTACTTTCCTCTTTCCTTGGTAACAGATGTGGAATTTAGTTCTCTTAGCAATAAAGGTTGGGAAAGTATGCCGTATGCCAGAAGAAAGTGGACATGGTGGGAGAAAGGGGCTAGAGAGTATAAAGCAGCAAGCATTTAAAGTAGCAAGTTCTTTCTTCTGTTCAACAAAATGAAAAAGCTGATAGAACCTAAGAAGGGGCGGGGAGGAAACTAATAGAAGATCCATGGTAAGGAGGGGAAAAGTGGGAGGGGGCAGTTGAGTGATGTGGTTGTCGGAGTGGAGCAATGGGAAGGTAGGAGGGCAGTGTGACATTTCCATCCAGCTGTCTTATGCATAAGCTTCTGACTCTTTCTTTAATCAGACAGAGGACCTTACATGGAATAAACAAAATAGATAAAACAGAGTGCAAAAAAATTCCTCCATTGTGTTTGGATTGAATATTAGGAGCAGGCCATTGGAAAGAGTGAACATGCTGTTAGCTGTGGGTGAAGAGGTGTCTTTACAAGGCTCCTGACAGGACTGGATTGTAGTAGTCTCTAAATCAGGGCTGGAGACAACCCGTGTCCTTCCAGATGTTGTTGAACTCGACCAGCATTCTTGGTCATGTTGGAAGAGACTATTATCAGCTGGAATCTGGCATCATCTGGAGAGGCATAGGTTCCCACCTCAAGGTAGATAAGGTGTTTGGGTAACTCTAGGGGATAGTTGCTTTTGTCATCTGAATAAAAAGCAAAATAAAAGCCTTTCTAGGTTGGGGATTGCAAATGTGTCATCCGACAGATCAACCAATGATCCCTTACAGTTGGCAAGGGCTGATAGGGCTTGCAGTCCAAAATCATGTACAGGGCCACACAATCACCTCCACTCCTCTAGGGATATTGAATTAGGGGATTGTTGCACAGCTGTTTTACAGTAGTCTTGTACAAAACAAGTTGCTAGCCAGGATTCACTCCAGATAATCAGGATATGTACAGTAATAGGATATGTTATATGGGGAATACTCAAGGTCACACTTCTCCAACCTGGGACCTTCCAGGTGTGTTGAACTGCAACTCCCATAATCCCATTTTGGGATTGTAATAAATTGGGAGAGTATCGGGTTGAGAAGGACTGATCTTGAGCCTCTCCTTGGGTTAGAATAAAGGAATAAGCAGTGTAAGACAGGAATAGAAGGCTTAACACTTGTCTGATCTCCTCTCTGCATGGTGGTTACTAAGTAAATCTTGGACTAGCTGTAAGAGGAGGAAAAAAATACCGGCTCTTTAACTCATTGCCTCAGAATTAACAGTCCGTGGGGTGTGTGCCTGCTGTGCACTGCTGGGTTTCTTTTTGGCTCATTGTGAACTTGTGACTTCTGTGCAGCTAACGCATCCAAGGAGAACGATGCTGTGTGAGTCACATACTGGCAAGTAGGCAGGACATGTGGGGTAGCTGTGATGCAACCGGGAAATTGATGTATTAGGGTGGTCCTGTAACTTGTATACCACCTAAAAACCTCATGATTGCCTTTGGTGGTGTTTTAAAGCTTTGTCTCCTGCCTGGAATGGACAAACTATATGAGTGAGAGTTGAGCAATTTTATTTTATTGCACAAGTTCCCAGCAATATCCCATGATATTTTTTTTCTGACTCCGGTACCCAGTGTCTGTGTTCTTACAGCTGGAATGTACTGTTGAAGGGTCCTCTGAGGAGTCCTCCACAGGAAGAATCTGAGGAGCAAAACTTGTATCGGGCACCGATGTCAGGGGCCTGCCCTTGAAGGAGGAGGATGCTACAGAGTGTGACGGAAAAGAGCAGGTGGGGCTGATTTATGCCTCGCTTCGTCAGCTGTCCTAAGATGGCGTTCTGGAAACCAAAGAGAATTGCTGAGGTCAGGGGAAGAACAAGATAAAAATACACTCCTTGCCATTCAGACAGGGATGAAGCAAGATGGTTATTGTCCAGAGCCGCTGGCTATGTCAAAGGGATCCACCACCGCACACACACCCCAGCCACCATATGCTGCAGCCTGGCTTTACTTGGGGACAGTTGTGTCAAGGTCCCTAGTCATCCAGGGAATGGATATGAGCTTGCTGAACGTGGGATTAACGAAGCTTTTTGTAAAGTCCTGATTTGCTGAGATGGATTCTAAATCTCAGGTTTAGAGTTAAATTCCCATGCAACTGTTAAGAACAAAAGATGCAAGATTCCAGAATTATCTGTAAAACATTTGTACTCAGACAAGAGAATGCGGCATTTTGTAGTGCAGTCTTCTGATCAGTTTATGTCTTGGAAACTTTATTAAAAAAGTAGAATTTAGCAATTTTAAAAAGCCAGGGTGAGTAGCAAAGAAATGAAGTTGTTTTTGACTACTGCAAACAAGTTCTGTCACTATGCCATTTTTGGAATGTCCCTCAATTCTGTTTCT